ACAGAAAAAAATATACTTTCAAACTCACCTCCCCCTTCAATCCATTAATTGGAGCAGATATCAGCGTCAAGCTATACCTCCTGATAAAAGTGTGTAGAATATAACGCAGCTCAAGAGTATACTGCCAATATGATGATAATGCATACGTCAGAAAAGTGTTTTAATGCAAAATTTCATCCAAAAAGCATACAAAAATATAACTTGTCATTCAACCACTGTGATAACAGGCCACAGAGCTACTATTGATGAGGACACGCAATAAAACCAATCGAGTTATGAGGATAAGAAAAAAGCGGTTGGTTATTAGCTATTGCATTTAGGTGATTCAGTGTTGTTCCTGAAGCGCCAATGGATTCACGCGGTATAGTCGCAAAAGGGGCACTTAGACCGGGATATTTCAGGATTTTGGTTCTCGCCAGAGCATCCTCCAGTCGTGCATTTGCATCGCCTACCCCATTTTGACTGCCGAAAGTCTTTAGGCTCACCTTGACTGATCAGTTGGAGGCTGCATGTACTAGGTGCATTTTAGGGACAAAACATCGATAGACATTGATCAACCTTAAAGAAATTTTGCAGGTGAGTTGGGGAGGTAAGTGCTGTATAATGACTGGTGGCATCGGTATGATCCCTCAGCTGTCAATGATATGCCTTAGGAACCCAAATGTTTCTGCCTCCAAAGGAACTTATGCTGATTGGTTGTCATGTGGGTTTGTTCTAGTTTGCGTAATGTTGCCCGAATTTGAACTGCTCGGATTGTTATGTCTGAGATAGCTGTGAATAGGTCATTTATATGCACTCTGGCGACCGTCAGTTCGTGCAGGTCATTCATTATTGCTTAGAAAGTTTGTGCGACATTCCAGAGAAAAAATGGCATTTGCAGAAACTCATGGAATCCAAAAGGAGGGTAATGGCTGGTTTAGGTACATCTTCTACGGCAACCAACATATTGCGATAGGCGTAAACTGAGTCAATCTTGGTAAATACTTTAGCATCTCGAAGACTATTGGTGCCTCCAGGTATCTGTCTGGGATGGTTTTCTTATTTGGGACTGTCAATGGAGTTGAAGATTGAACGATCAATTCATGGTTGTTTGCTCAAACCAACTTCCTCAATTTTCGCGGAGGCATCAATACGACAGTCATCGTCTCTTCGGTCGCTGTTCAGAAAGAAGAGTGAAACATCGTCAGAAAATGTCAATCACGTCTCATAAACCGTTAATGCCCAGCTCTCGCTACGCTCGGGCCCACGCTGTTCTTCGAAGATTTCAGAAACGCTTAGTTATAACGGACGATAAAACCAAAACACCGATCTGCCGTTTGATATTTCTTTATTGTTACACCAACATATAAAAAGAATAAGCGAACTAAGGTCTGAAAACAAATATTACAATAATAAATCTTTGTATTACTTCTGACGATGTTTCACTCTTCTTTCTGAACAGCGACCGAAGAGACGATGACTGTCGTATTGATGCCTCCGCGAAAATTGGGGAATTTGGTTTGAGCAAACAACCAAGAATTGATCGTTCAATCTTCAACTCCATTGAAAGGGACTGTGTAATAATAATAATTATAATAATGTATATTCTCATATAAACATATAAACTTACATGAAAATGCATGCCATTTTTACAGGCACGATCAAGTATGGTATAATGTCAAATCATAGATTGTCTACAAGTTAATAATGTTTCAACAGTTAAATATTTTATATATATATATATATAATTACACTCATTGTCTGGACCAGGCCGTATAGTTATTGAATTGTACAGTTGTCCTCCAGGTTGAGCGGGAAAACTGGCTTCGTTTCGTTTTCATCCCGTGGTTGTAGGCATACGATAACCAACGAATATTGAGGTAAGTACAACGTTTACAAGGGATTGTAATAATAATAATAATAATTTATTTTCATATAAACATAAATTTACATGAAAATGCATGCCATTTTTACAGGCACGATCAAGGATGATATAATGTCAAATCTTAAATTGTCTACAAGTTAATAATGTTTCAACAGTTTAATATTTGATATATATATATATATATAATTACAGCTGTTTTAGAAAAGTAAAAGTGCTAAGGTGAATCAATAAAGTGTAATGAAATAAGTAAGTGCAATATATCATTAATGAATACATTTATATAGGAGACAGAATGGGGAAGCAATTAATTCTTAGGCCGACAACGTTCATTTGCGATGTATAATGCTACCCATATAGGTCTTACTATCATGATGTCCACTTTTGGCTTTAACACAATTATTTTCAAGCCAGTTGTTTTTATATTCTATGCCTTTTTGTGCATTTGGTGCACAACCGTACCCTACAGAGAATAGGAATAGAATAAGTCGAATCAAATTCATAAAGAGCTATAAAATGTTAGGTTTAATGGAATATAATGAGGATCAAGTAAAGACATTATTAGAAAATAAATGAGATAAGACATTGTGAAGTGGTATTTAAAGATCCGACGATGGATAGCAAGTTAATTTATAAGATGCCCCATAAATCTGTGCAGATCCCACATGGTCGCATCTCAACAATAGGCCGAGTGAATGGTATATATTTAAAGGCAGAAGCATGACCTGTCTAGGCGTTCATTATTATCTTTTTCAAGATAAAGATCTAAGCCCTCATAAAAATCAGAAATGTCTCGAGCCTTCAAATTGCATATTGCTGTTCCTGCAGAATGGGGTGATTCACCTTAGTGACCCCCACCATATCTACTGATCAGCTAGCGCCACCCTCCCTCCTGTAACCGCTACAGAGGCTGTAATCGGTCCGATTTTTCTTAGGCACCAGGAATAAGGCGTATCAATGGTATTTTGTACCATTTCGCAGTCTCCCAGTCCGCTCTTCTCTTCCTGAAATAGCGTTCAATCCCGTGGCGGCATAGCGCTTACCCTAATATGCGCTATTCGCTGGTCGGTCATAACTATCACCAGGAAATGGAACGAAGTTTGGATGGTGAACTTACTGAAGGGTTTACAATTTAAAATTTCTGCTAACCTATTCCGACTACTTATACAATAACCCAACAATTTAAACTTTTGAAAAAGTACCAATTCATGATACTTCATGATTGTAATTTATGACAAAACTGATCGTGCGTGTAAAAATGGCATGCATTTCTTGTGAAAATCAGCTTATACGAAATGTAAGTTATTATTAGCAGTAAGACCCATTGACTATTTAATGGCTGAATAATCTTCAAATGAAGGGCGTAGTCAAATTGGGATTTCTCTTATTTTAGCTTAGCCGGAGCCAACCTTCTTGGCTTGGCGGAAAATAGAAGGCTTTTTACATATAGCACGAGTAATTTTCAGGTCAGCCTTCGAAGTTTGGGGTATGGTTGACGTCAGAATTGAGAATTCTGCTAGCACTTTCCAAAGTACTATATTCAGTGAATGATGCCCGCTCGCTTCACCAATCGTGTATCAAGAAGTTTCTTTCATTATTGAAAATCCCCCTCGAGTATCGACTAATAGGTTATCTTTCCGGGGATTCTTAGCCCTAGACTGCTGCGTCTAGGTAAGTGACAGTGACAGCCTGTGAGAGCTGTGGCCTAAGCCCGAGGATAACTGTCAGTGTTTTCTACACTATCGTCTAGATCGGGGTTCTATTGGAAGCCTGCAGAGTGACGGAAAACTTTCATCTTCCCGGCCCTGTCTTCTTTTTTCCTATGACAATGTTTTGTTCTTGACTTAATATAGACGACTGTCCAGGCACCATTTCTCAGTATTTGCTATGTTGTGTGGTTCTGATAGGGGCCCACGTCTTGAAAATATTGGAAAGACGATTGAGTTAATATCGAAGTGAGCACGCATAGTTAACATGGGAGGGATAGGAAGAGAGAACATCATCAATGCCCTGCAAATGTCCCAACACTAGCCGCCACCATTGTAGACACAACCAATCCAGTGATACAGAAGAACAAAAAACCGTCTGTCAAATTCGATATCTAGTGACGTTGCCAATTCGAATTGGTCTCATTTTCACTGGAGGTGACAAGCTATGACTCAGCCTTGAAGTCTGCTTGCAGGCCGAATATCGGAGTCAACTAATTATGAACTCGGTGCCTAAAGTGCTCTTTAATTAACTTTGCTCCTTTGGTTTCTTATTTTTCGGGCAATAAATCTTCTAAGTTTCAATCTATCTTTTATTGTCAGTCGCATTCAACTTCAACTGGTTATTAGGTACCAAAATAGTATTCAGAGTTCCGGAGAGTTGTCTTCTGCCAACAGCAATAATTTCCGACAGCGTTATTGACAGTTTGTGAACTGGATACTTGAAACCGTCAGTGCTAAGGTCAGGAAGAGAAGAAAAAAGTGAATTAATACACGTAATTTTTATAACGAACATGAAGTCATCCACACATTGTGTATCACCTTATGCATATAACTGAACAGCAGTCTACACACAGAATACTGAGACAAGCTGGTGATGTTACACACGAAGCACACTCAAAGTCGAGGCTCACACATGGTTTCAATGTTGTAAGACTCCATTTATTATGGAATAGGCCAAAAATATTAGTCAGACATTCTACGCAATTCTATGTCATGGCGATCCAGACAGATGTGATTCTGAATATTTCTCATATTCCTAAAGGAATTTTAAAATTCGGCCATGATAATATTTTTCATAGTAGTGTGTATAGAAGGCCTCTGTTTACGTGCCACTATCACTTTAAGCGCATGTTGACGAAGGCATAGTTGTCCAGAGCCATCCTTTTCCATTTGATCTCTCAAATCGGTGACTACTATTATCAAGCAAGAATTTCGTTTAGCTCTTCTCTGGCTGAATTAAAGCTAATAGTATATATTTGCCTGGAGCGCAATTCAACTGCTGCTATGGTATCAAAAATATTCTAACTACGTACAAGTTCATCACTCTAAAGGCCGAATGAGCAGTTAATTCACGCCTGATTGTAATCACTAACCCAGGCAAATATAACTGACACTGTCAAAAGGGAACTAAGTCCCTCAGGATTATTAACAACGAAGTCGTTCGATCCCCCGCATAAACTAAACAGGATATTATTTCAAAGAAAGTTATTCCCTGCTTCATGATCTGTATCAACAGCATTAGAATCCATTTATAGGATTATTTGGGTGATTTATAGTTGGCTGGTGATTCTTGTGATTTTCCTTCAATCTCTTACAAGGATACTTTGTTATTACGAATCCAGTCAATGCTTTATTATGGCGCATAATATGTCCACATGCGTTACATCTGTGTGTCCTTGGGAGTAACTTCTGTGTTTCGGGATGTGTTAGATTTTCGTTTCGTATATGGATGTGAAGCACGGTATTTGAAATTAGATAGGAAAACATTTTGGAACGATTTTAAATCCCTAATATTTCAAAGAAGACTGGATCTGTTTACTTGAAGATATTTATTTTGAGTATCTTTCTGGATGACTTTCGTCTCAGTTTAATCTTGTTGAGCATGCCATGCACTTCGAGACCGCTGTTTGCGCATGTGAAAAGCCTCAAAAGCGTGTACCTCTGGCCTGTCAGTGGACTGAAAATGACAACCCCGGCTCTCTTGCCTCGAATTCTACTGCAGATACGGGTATCGATTGCAGTCAGAATACTTCTCCTTTATATCCACCAGTACAGTCACCTCACACCATTACACATCGTCATATGGGCAGAAGATATGGTTTCCCAGTTGGTCACGTAGCCTCGTCATCGAGCGACGACCACCCACCTCCTGTACCACCCAAAACTGCGAACGATATTCCCCCACTTCCTCCGAAACACATATCCGGTCCAGTCCGACAACTGAATGCTTCCCATAGTGCTGATCTTGTGGAGACTTGTGCGATTTGCACAAGGAATGCTATTGACATAAATCGACCGTGTACTAACAATAGATTTTTTGATAAACAATCTGTGAATGCCCCGAGACAGTCTCCATTTTCATTGAAATGTGAAACAACTCACACTGGGTGTGCTAGCCATTCTCAATTCTCTGACAGCCTTGTGAGGATTAATTGTTCATCTCGTAAAAGTGTATTAAATAAATCCGATAAGGAATTATCAGGAGGAAGTAGCCATTTACATAGTCTTGGGGTTAGTAAAAGCACTTCCGATGCAAAGGTGACAAAGTCGGCCACATGCAAGCGTTTTGAGAAGAAACATGTTTGTTCAAGTTCTAAATACCGGACAGCGAATATGTGTGAACTAGTGAGAGATTCCAACTCGACATCTGATCTACCCACCTCCACTTGCACATGTTCTTCAAACTTGTGGGGTTCTAATGTTTTGGCCAATAAAGTGGATTCTGAATGTACGTCGCATCCAAGATGTTTCTCTTCTGAATATCGAGGACTCAATTTGATTTCTAACCATTTTGTAAACAGGAAGGCTTCTAACTATCGTAAAGATCTGGGTAACATAAATAAAGCAGGATGCGGTAGCTTGCAGTGGATTTCTGAGACTTTCCAGCGAATATTTCTTGTTTCTAAAAATTCCAAGGCCAAAAATCAATTTCCCCAGTCATCAAATGATATGTTTTCACTTCCCAGGAGCCCATCAAGTTCAAATGAGGATAAAATAAGTGGACGTGTTAAAACACTGATTCAGAAGAAAGATCGTGAATGGAAAAGAGATATTTGTAATCAAAGACCGAGACGTAGTCTTCCTTTGCGTCACAAACGTTCACTGAGTTACAACAATAACTGCACTGAGGGGACTGAAGTAAGTCCAAGTATTTCAAATGAGTGTGAGACTAGTTCATTTTCTCATCCACCCGTCAACCATCATTCACTGCCACCTAGATCAGCAACTAGTCGCAGCTCTGCTGTCAAATGCATTAATTCTGCGGTCACTCCAGACACAACAGAAAAGCATTTCAACCGTCTTGATAGCCTGAGCCCATCCAGTAGTCGAGTAAGAACCATCCGTACATCAAAGACGGTAGGACTTATTCCAACTAGATATCAAACTCCAAAGCTATCGAATATGTGCATGAACCATAAGAGACCAGAGTCGGCTCTAGCGATGATGTGTGCGTGTCCATCGTATGTATCCGGCCAAGCAAATGTGAGTGTTATTTTAAGCATAGTATGTTTCTGATATTTTTTAATCAGTAACTTTTAAGATAAAGTAGGTATTTGGGAAAAAAGGATCAGCAACAAGGATTATATATATATATATATATAAGCCTGTTTTTATCGAACCACTGGCAGTTATTAGTCCCTGTCAGCTTTCTGATCATCGAGCGACTAAATACCATCCTTAAATATGCCGATGACCATGCTCTCTAATCCACAAATCTTCGTAACTGCATTACTTGAATATTCTTTTGGTAATTAAAGAACGCCTGGGATAACTTTGTATTCTTAGCAATTTCCTATCAGTTTACCTTCAGTTGGTCAGCCAGACTTTTTTCTAGTCAGCATCTATTGAATAGGTCTTTTGTTCGGGTTCAGCCCTCGTTAAGCTATACAACATAGATAATACTACAATTAATTTACCTTTATGTACTAGGTCAGAGCTTTGAAGCAAAACCGAATATGTTACCATTTTAGTAACGTAACTATATTTTTAAAATCTCCACTTATACTTTTATATTTTGGTTATTTCTATACAGAGTGCTAGATAACATAAGTTTCCTTATGTTATGTTAAATATGATAATTATGTATATTGCTACTTTTTTGGTTTTTGTGCTATTGTTACTGTGAAACACACCAAACGGTACTAAATAAAAACTTCCATGAGTCAGTAATGGATGCACAGATTTTGTTAGATTTTGAATTACAGTTCACTCCATTTAATTTTCAAATAGCTATAGGATGCCTACGACTGAGCAGGGTTATTAAGACCAAATACCAGTCACTGAAAATCTGTCTGTTCTACGCCTCATAAGTATCATGGTTAAAATCCCTTAGGCAGCTTAAATCAACGTTTAGTGATATGGTCTGGAATTAATTAGGGCATCTACGTTTAACTTAGGTGTTATTATCATTGTTCCTTTAATTATATTTTTTCTTCATGATCGATTATTTTCTTTTCTTTTTATCTTTTTTGTTGGATGCCTGTTTTGATGTTACACAGTGTGATTCAGTAAACCCAAATACTTCGCGCCTTCCGTGTGAAACATCTAGTGATCCTAACAATGTCTTAAAATGCACTGAAGATATTGATTTTGGAGAACATCCTACTACAATAATCGATAAAAATGGACAGATACACCATGTTCATCATATACATCACTTTCACCATGTTCACCACCACCATCATCATCACGACTGTACTGATGTCGCTAATAATGTCGCCTCTTGTCCTTTAAGTCCAGTTACAAGTCCAGTCGTCTGTGATCGACAGCGTCCACCAACAACTATCGCGTCTGCTATGGATACTTGTATTTTAGAGGAAACATCAGTCAGTTCTCCCTTATCCTGCCAAAATGCTAATAATCAACCACCAGTATGTACTGATCAAGTCACTGTAAGTTATTCTGAAAGTTTTAAGATCGATTAAGAGTTGTGTGAATCAACTGTATCAAATCAATGTTTTAGATATGACATGACCGTCTTTTCAATATTTCCCATACACTAATGGCATCCTAAGTGAAAATTAAGAATTTATTAAAGCAAACTTTATAGATATACAACAGTTTTGTTTTGAAATTAAGAACTGCGCATTAAACACTTCTCCTACTTTATCAATAAGACTAAGGTAATCAGTCAGATATAATTAACACTTAATTAGCCTTAATATGTAACTGAATAATAATTTGACCGAATGCCAAGATAAGCGAATCATAGTTTCATCTGGACTTGTTCTCTATTTCTTTTGTATTAATTATTAGGGGTAACAAGACAGTTATCTATTCTGGTGTATGCTATTTCGGTAGGTTCGATGGTAGTTTACGGTCACAGTCTAGTGGTAAACTACATGTCTCGTCTTCGTGTCTCCGTTCTGTCTCTTGAGTTATTTAGTACAATACAGTCGCGAGTGATGCGGTTAGGTGTAGAGTGTTAAGTAAAGAGGGTAACTCAATTGACTAGGCTGTGAAGCTACATTGACTGGGAAAGCTAGGACATGTGTTCCGCATTTCAGGCCATCAGCTTTGACGAGCAATGTTAGCTGATATACGATTGGGTTACAAAGAATGAGTGACTTGGCTCATAGCCCCTCCCTCAACGGTGTGGATGTATTCACTCTTTATCATCTCTCAGATGCATTGAATTCCCATTGTTCTCCATGTGATTATTTGACTACTTAATGAAGTGTGATAACCTTAACTGCTGCAATTTTGTGCCAATTTCTACGTTGGAAATCCAGTCTGCTTCTTAAGACACTGAATAACGTGTAAAAAACTGTATACGATTTCTTTTTGAATTTTATGAGTATATACTCATTTTGAACTGTACCTTTGGAAAATAACTTGTCTATGTACCTCACAGCATTGGTTGCTGCTCATAATCATTCTAGGGAAAGATCAGATTGAGATTTCATGAATATTCATACAAATAGATATTATAACATGGCACTTTAATTTATTACAAATTTCTGCATCTGTGTGTAATCAAAATATTTTCTATTTGTCAACGATTTACAATTTTTTTAAATTGGTAGCATCTGTACAATTTTGCCTTCACCACTATTGGACATTACAGTGTAACTTTGATAATTTGTCCACCCAATTTCTTCACCGAATATATGTGATTGATTTCGAAACTACTTTCGACTGATGTGATATCGATACAGGCTGACCGTTATATGCCTATAAAGTTAGGCTATCGACGCTCAACGTGTAAAGAAAATATCTAAAACCAAACTCTGTTCGCTCATTTCGACATCGGTAACTATAAATACTCGAAAAGTAAAGAAAATAGGACATAAGTTTCTACAGTCTTTAAAGGAAAATAATATCAGTTATTGCTTTAATTAATTAATTGGTTCATTTTGTTCGAAAATATTTTTACATTGGAAAATACTTTTGTTTTCACGCTTCTCTTACCTTATAGCCTGTTACCAGTTGTCATACATACAATGCTTATGATGTCCGAGCATCTGACAGCATTAATATGTCTGTATCCACCAATTCTGTATCACGAGATTCCCGCAGTGCATCTATCCGAAGACTGTCATCTACATTACAGGATAGTCGTTCATCATTTCATCGAAGCATGTTAGAACTGAGAAAGGTAAAAATGCTGTCTCTTTAATTTTTAATATTTACATTAAATAACTGTAATACTATTATGATTATTTTTTCATCCGATTGATTTTATGTTCTGGAACTAGATTCTGTTTCTTTTTTCCACGCTTAAATTTGTAACTTTATAAACGAATTTTTTTACGTGAATTCTAAAGATTACAACTAGATGAGTGGTTAGTGGCTAAATAGACGGTTGAGTGAAATAAATTCTACTACCTGAGTAGTTAAGTAATTGACTCTCAAGTGACTAATAGTACTACATGATGTGAAATATAATCCTTTTAATTGAGCTTATCGGTACTGATACCACCCGCGTATGCATCTAACGTGTACATAAGCGTTATTTTCAACTTTATTCATAAGTACATAGACACAATATTTTCTCTTACTTACATTACTACCATTACTACTTATATAAGATGCATTATATTTCGTTGAATGTTATTCTTCATTTAGACGTGTGCATATAGAAACAGTTTACGTGTAGATGATTACAGATAATCCTGTTCAAATATCGTTATCATCCTTTGACATATTCAAACGCACATAATAATTTGCTTTTTATTCTAGAAAAAATTATTCTGACAGACTGTGTATGAAATAAAACAAGTTTTAATGAACTTTGGTCGAGTATTCATTGAATAATTGAACGGCTTATTAAGCGTCAAGTAGTATTATCATTATTAGTAGTAATAGTAGTACCAGTTAAACAGCAAGCACAATTATTTTGCAAAAAAATATAGTTTAGTAGGTTTTATTCTCAAAGCTTTTCATGTTTTTGTGTTTTTTTTTGTTACAAGATCTTTCACGAAGGTAGTGAATATGTTAGACTTTCACTAGTATTTATAACACAAAGTTTCTTCTAGACTGATTGGTATTTCTGATGTATGATTGGTTTAATTCTTCTTTAATTGGTTGTTTTGTTGTCAGTTTTAACTTTTAATCAGATTCATTGATATTGATAGTGATGAATTTCAGTCAACATATGAGGCCTTAGACTTAGAGAATTGAGTAATATCCGTAGTTATTCTTGACACAAGTGTGTCCCATAGCTCAAAACATTTCTAAAAAAATCTTATGCCATTTAAATGACTTGTAGTGTAATGGCTGTGAAACATAACCACTGAATATGGGAAATATGTAAAGACTAGCTATCTTTAACTATAGACGTTTTCGCTCTATCTCCCGTGTTAAGTACTACCAATATGGTGAACAATATATTGAGGTTAAAGAGTAGTGTTAAGTAAAGAGAGTAAGTCCAATCGATGAGATTGTGAAGTTCTATCGATTGAAATGAATAGGACATGCGTTGCACATGCATAACCACCACCTTTCTCAAGGATCAATGTTAGTCTGTATTGGATTAGGTTGGAAAACAGTTAAGGGTAGACAAACCAAGAAATGGAGTCATTCCATTGAAGTCTTTGACAGTTGGTCTAAGCCAAGTAGTAAGGTGTAGGCTAACTCGGGATGGTGAGAACTAATAGCCAAGAACTGTTTCCCTCGTGAATCACAGATATCCATCCATCATGCTCACAATGCATTTTGGAAGTGAAACAGTATATTGAAGACTAAATTAAGTTGTAAGCATTTTTAGTTGTCATCCGTGTTCAAGTCTGATTTGTTTTGGTTGTCTATATTGTCCAAGTCTCGAAATTGGCCATAACAGCCCATAAGTATTCAGTCTCAGCTTTTACCTTAAACATAAATCTTCTCTCACTATATGCCTTTGTTTTATTGTCTATCCTAGTTTATCCTCTTTGGTGATGTGTCTCAAAATCGTTCCTAATGGCGTTAATACATTCACCACTCTTTGTAACCTTTCATATACACTAAATGTTCATGTTTTTCCACATTGCTGTTCTCTCTCCCTAAAATTTCTGTTCATTATATCTCTTTTGAATTTATTTCTCTCTCCCTATTCACCTTTGTGTGCTACATTTTTTTAATTTCTTTGCGTTCCCAGTGGAACATGAGGCTTCAAGCTAGAGCTTTGAAGTTTCGATAGCAGTGGTGTTTATTTATACGGGATGGGGTTGCTATCCTCATACCCACCAGCCTTCTCTCTTTACCAGTCTTATTACTGGCTTAGTGAGGTAAAGGAGTACCTTGGCCGAGGACCTAACCTTGAACTACATGCGTACAAGGTGAGCATGTAGAATTACTCGATTACCACTAGTAGAATATATCAGCAAGACAATACAGATATTAAAGAGAAACATTATCGAAATAGTGCCTCGATCGTTAGTTTTGTGTATGACATATATGGTTCATACGCATTCTTAGACAGCAGTTCTCACCCTGTCGATAATGTCATATTTTTAACTTGACAGGAATTTTATCTATATCTCCTTTGTGTGTGTGTGTATGTGTGTTCGTATAAGTCAGTTTTTAATTTTCATAATGTAGTTCAACACTTACTTATTGATTTATTTAAGCGTTTCGATACCGTTTTAATGCATATTTAGTTTTGGCGAGTTAATCATTACTATTATTATCAACATTACATGTCTCCACATAAACACATCCACTGGTTAAACAACCTTCAAGCTGCAGGGTTGGATTTGTTTGTGTGTGTGTGATATGTGTAGCTACACTGAGTAGTAGTTGTTTTACTTTTATGCCTATAATTTTGCAAGGCTTAGAGACATGTTTTCTGTTCTCGTCAATCAATATACAACAATAGTGATTTAACTTATGGCAGGCAATATAATGATGACTACAAGCTATTATCGTCATTATTATTATTATTATTACAATTTCCATTCTATTAATTATTCACAACTGATGTGTACTATATACTATGATGATAATGTGCCTGGTAGACATCATTGCTTAGAGAATTATTTTTATCACTATTTTTATGCGTTGTCCAAATTTTAGTTTTATTTTGTTTACCTTTTAGTCCTTGTGTGTATGTGTATATATATATGTATCATAACAGATTGACTTTATAGCACTGACATTACATATATATACATATATATATATATATATATATATATATATATATATATATATATATATATATATATGCGAGCAGAAAGACAAATATATGTATATGCATGTGTGAATCATAACTGCTAGCTAGACTGCCTCAATGGTAGTAAATTGGTTCGCCTACAGTTGTTAATTTCCATTATATATATATATATACACTGATGTATTATTATTATTACTATGGTTGTCTGTCTGTCTATTTCACCATAGTAGACCTGTTAGTCCAAAATCCAGTGCATATGTAGAATTTGTAGAGCAATTCCATCTTCCCTATTCCATCGCGCATTTTATTGTCTATTTTACAACTTAGTCATTTCATCAATCATTTTAATTTTCTAGTGCGTTTCTTTTTTTGCTGTTGTTTTTGATGGTAGACATAAATATGTGGAAAAATTATCATCACATGTGATAAAAAACGCATTGTAGAGAAGGTTGGAGAGACTATTTTGTGTTATTATGGTCAAGTCAATTGACACGGGTGTTTACTTCTAATTCTCGTGTGTTACTGCATATGTTTCATTTATTTTTAAGTAAAGTCTGAACAACAAAAGTGTATTGATTATCACTATAGTCTCTAGTCTGATGGTAGTGTTCACGGCAAGGTTATGAATTACAACTTTTTGGGAATCTATCTATCCATACGTATCATAATCGCTGATATTCCATTCGTGTAGATTTCTTGAAAGTGGATCACAGATTAATCGGTTGTTTTCATTCTTCGTTTCAAAAGAAGTAATAACGATTGTATTGTTGAAATCGATCGTGAAGAGTTGAATGTTTCGACAGAAGTTTTAACATGTTTAGAGCCATAGGTGGTAGTGATAGGGTAGAGAGTCTTTGTGGATATACGCAATTGCTCAATGATATCTAACTTGGTATGGTATGTGACTCATTCAGCTAAGTAAGTAAGTAAGTCTAAGGTTCGAAACCGGCCCATCCTACTTTCACATTAAAAAATTGGATGAATATCTTCAACTCTCACAACTAGTACAACTGTCATACATTACCTGCCTGAATGGGAATGATGCTCAGGGAGGCTTCGTGTGCTTTTGGAAGTGTGTGGGCAGTTGTTACTTCCCGGCTGCCCACACCGTGGAAGTTGATTAATTCTTCGGGTACCTGAAACAGAGAGGGTGTTGCGTGACCACAGAGCCCAAGGGACAACTGCTTGAGGCCGGTCACACGCGGCCTGTTTTTGTCTGTTCTTTTTTATTTGGTGTGTCTCAGTAGCATATTTATCACTTCTGCCCTGTGACATGGCAGTAGGAAGCGTGGTCGTTGTTAATCCGGGCCCCAACCGATCCGGCATGATATTTTTTGATTTTGTTTCAGTCATAGCAATGGATTGAGTAGCTGCTTTTTGTCTAACCGCTATCCTAATAACCTTTCTGGCATGGTAGGACCTCAAGTGATATAAGTCTCAGCTAGTATAGCTTGTTGGGTCATTGCGGTGTTCAAGCCCGACCACCACGTCAAGGTAGCAGCTTTCGGTCGGGTCATACATTACCTGGTACCCGGAAAGTCTTTGTCGAGAGTCTGAGTATTATCAGGTGTGTAAAAGGTATATGGATGATCTTATTTTGATTTTTATCTCTATACTGATAAGAGGTAATTTGAATGGTTCTCTTGGAATACCGTGCACTGCACTAATTTATACAACTAGACTGAGTTGAACAGACAAAGGGAATCTAGGTTCATTTGCTATCATCATGTTGATCTAAAGAATTTCTTGACTTTACAAAACTAGTAAGCAATTAAGTAGAAACCTCGATAAATCCTCCTCGTGAATCACATTTATCCATTCATCGATGCTCGGAATGCGTAACATTTTTCAAAGTTAAGCAGTATATTGTGGATCGAATTAATTTTTATTAGATTTTCCGTTGTCACCACGGTCTATGACGGATTTGTTTACGGATCTATAATCTAAGTCTCAAAACCAGATTTTATAGTCTACCCTACTTTATTCTTTTTGCCTCTTGACTCACCTTTTCATCTAATAGTTGTGTGTTTGATTCGCCTTCTACTGATATTGATTTCATCTTGCACTGTTCTAAAGTAGTATAAAAGCTGAAATTAAAATACAACTTGTATACAAGATTCTATAGGTTCAGCATTGCGCTTAATATCCGTGACAAAAAAAAAAAACAAATTACAACAGCTGGTTTGATCACTACTGGCAGTAATATTTCTCAACGTATGACCTAAATTAGGACGTATCATTGTATGTAAAGTACTCATTACAAATGCTCGTCTGTGGTGGTTCATTAGTAGTGTTATGGTGTGATACAGACAGTCTGTTCCTACGGTTTATGATTCTCACATATTCTCACAGTTCAATTCGGCCTTAGCAACAGAATACAATACATCTCTATTTGAACATTCTATTTGATGTTAGAGACAGAATACTTTTCTCATGGTTATATACTGCATTAACAACAGAGTACTATGTATATTTGAACATTGTATTTCACGTTGTTTGACGTAAACCGAAATCACACTCTCAATGGTTGGTTAGAGAATATAAAACTATATACTTATATGCATATATATGAAAAGAGGTGTGATCTCTTGAAAGTATGCTTTTGCTTCCGTGTCTTGCCTTCTGCTGTTGCAGTATTAAACTCAGCAACTACGCACTTGGTCTGAGTCAAATTCCCGACCGACGCACTCCTCAACCTCGCCTTGTTTACTAGCCGCTAGTAAGTCTAGGTAAAAGTTAGGTTTGGATGTGAGACTAGTAACCCCACGGCGTAAGAACAACACTACTAACCGAAACTTCAAGCTTGGCGGCCTATTTTCCACGTGGAACACAAGGAATGAAAAAGAAAACGCATTACAAATACATAGTACAATACTCACAGATGTCTGAAAAAGTGTAAGCAATTGAACACGGGAATCTGGGCTATAAAGTATATTAATTTTTTCGATGTAGATACTTCACACACCTACAGAGATCCAGACAGTCAAGAATGATCTGTTGTTCTACAATATTTATTTATGTAATGAAATTCGGTCAGCACTGACACAAAGGTATAAAGATACATGACCTCACTTACACCTTAGTGACCAATCAATGATTCCATTACAGTCCTACTATGGGTCAATAATGAGCCCGAATATCTGAATGGTAACATCTCTGGCTGTAATATTAGCTGACGCAAGTTTGAATCCTAGCAGAGAGGTATTAGTCCCTTCTAGGTTACAGACACGGCATACTGATGGGTGCTTATAAGCGGGAAATCTAGGTCTAGCGCTTTCTGCTGATTACCTTCAACCATGTAACACCAGGTGATTATTTGTCACGCAAGCGGGTATCTAGTGTCCGATTTACGTGACTTCTTTGTTTGGGTCATCTTGGTGAAGAATTTTTGATATTCAAGTGATGGTTTGTAGGGATTTGATTGGTTTCAGGATTTCATCATGAGCTGACATTAGTTAGAGAACCATTGGAAAACCTGGGAGTACTGGACAGCTGTTTCGTCCTAATTTGGGACTCTTCATCAGTGCGCACCCACCGGGATTCGAACCTGAATTTTTGAATTCCATGTTAGATGGTTGGATCCAACCTGGAGGAAGCCTTAGACCTAAGTTTCATGCTTCTTTGGTACTCATCAGCAAAGCGTATCTGCAGTCTTAGAGGAACCGGCGTCACCCAGTACTGCAGTCATAGACGTTACCACTCAGCTATTGGGTTTTGCGATCGATCTCCTTTAGGACTGTATCAAATACACTGACTGGTCATGAGGGTGATACGTCTTTTCCTTGGTGTTAGTGTAGACTGAATTCTATCAATGAAGTTATTCAAGATTACCAAACTTTGAGATGTGTTGAAAGGAATGCGTGGTGAATAATGCAATTCCACAAAGTTTAACAGTATTTCTTCTTTCACTCGAAACCTATTTATTGCTTGCTTCTCGTATTTAATATTAAATTTAAGAGGACAATATTAAGTGTTATGCTGTTAACTTGCAAAGCGAATAAATTGCACACCTGCTCTAATATAATTTAATCAACACTTGGTATTTGGTAGCGGGTAACTACTTTGTGGTTGACAGTAATGTGTGTGTGTGTTTGTATGTCATTGAAACAATTTTCAGAGTAGCAACTCTATCCACTTTTCTTCACTTTTTTTTTCTCTCTCTCTCTACTAGATGGGCTGGTATTGGGGGCCATTAAGTTTTCAAGAAGCTCAATTTCTATTAGCCAAACGACCAGATGGTAGTTTTCTAGTCCGTGATAGTGGTCATGATACGCATATTTTGAGTTTAAGTTTTCGAGTACGCGGTGAAACGTATCATACAAGAATTGAACATAATCAAGGTTAGTTTCCTATAGGCCCTTTTTTTCTCTTTTTCAAAAAAGTGTTCATTTCATTTATACTTGGTAAGACTCTTTAAAAATATGTAAACTTTTAAACGGTATTGACTACTTTAATCCTCTTCACTATATTCACTAATAGTATTCAAAAATGTTGTAGTAAAAAAAACTCAATAGGTTTTACCGTAATGTGCATAAATTTATATATAAATGATAAATACAAACCCACCATTAGTGCATCGATGATTCGGCAGCAGGAATGCTCGCCAGCCACTCACGTGGTTGGGTCGGGTTCGACCCCCGACCGACGCACTCCTTAACCTCATATAAGCCAGTAGTAAGCCCGGTAAGAAGGGAAAGTTGGGTGTGAGACTAGCAACCGTATCTTGTGAAAACAACATCATCACTTTGGAAACTTCAGAGCCCTAAGCTTGATGTTCTATGTTTTACTCGGAACGTGAAGAAAAGCAAAGAAAAATGGTAAACTGTCAGTGGGACTGTTAGATAAATGACTACAAATTGTGCGTTTCATAATAATAATCATAATTGGCAGAAGTTGGAATTCATAGGCCATTTGATCGGGTCCCAGTGGCTTAACAGTCTACGAGCTCGCCTAGTAACCAGCAGGTACTGGGTTCGAACCCCGCAGTGTGGGTGCGTACTACTGAAGATCAAGTCCTGAACTAGGATGAAACAGCTGTTCAGTACTCCCAGGTGAGCTCATGATGAAATCCTATAGCCGATCAATCAAATCCTGCAAACCAATACTTGGAAAATAATAATATCACTGAAATGGTATTGAGGTATTGTTGCGCACAAATGTGTGTTAGTTTTCCCTGCAAAAGAAAGTGAAGTAATCACAGAGTGCAATCCTCTTGTCCGACGAGTTAAGAACACTCTCATCTAAGTATATCTCTGCTGGAGACGAAGAATGTCAATTCTATAATTACACGTTGAGTATTAATAATGCTAATGAATCTATTAGTAGATGTTTTGCGCAAAAGTAGTTTACATCCAGCTCTTATTGAAGCCCAACCTACTGACATTTAGATCTGACCATTTATATTTCCCTGGTACGAGAGTTTAATTAGATTCGTAGGTTATCTTCGCTTACAGACTTTTTTCTCACTACTATATTTATATCCTTAAGAGGTTTTTCCATCTTGCGTGACTCAACTGAAACTATATATTACTTGAATGACTGAGGTGAGTAGTTGTATATTACTCATATCAATCAGTCCTGCTCCCCCGCTAGCTAAATCAAAGTGATCTAAACACCTCGGACAGCTGTTTCGTTTGCTTACAGCCGAGCTCATCCGCAGTGATTTAAGGTGTTACCAGTTCGCCCAGCCCAAGTAGATAGGTAGCCAGAATTCTCTGGGTGGTTTAAACTGATTCACCTCTCTAAGCTGAGTCATACTGGGCACATCGCTGATAAGCTTGGCCCCAAACGAGCGAAAAAGTCATCAGATATTTAGACTACTTCGATCTGGCTAACAGGTAAGCACTACTGGTTGATTTAAGTTGTATACAACTGCTCATATCTGAATCAATCAATCAATAGTATAAAGTGTTACTCATTTATGCAGATCTCATACTGCACTGTAATCAGCATCATTTCGGTCACCCCAAGGAAATTGGGGTGAATCGTATAAATTGCGACTTTGAATAGACTGTGAATGTTTCGCCAAATTTTCCTCAGTTATTCTAGTTTTTTTTCTTTTTACTGAAGTCTTTTTTATTTTGTCGCTAAGGTTAGACTGGTATATCATCACTTATATATGTATATTCAGTCATCTCTGCCTACTCACATGACCATTTAAAATCTACTTTGTGTACGCCAACATTTCACATCTCATGATGTTATTATGTGTGATAAGAAAACTAGATAAAAAAATGTTTTGCCTAAGACTTTCAAGATTATTTAGCAGTAATAGTAGTAGTAATTGGAGTAATAGTATCAGACAGAAAATATGTGATTGTTTTTTTCCCTGTCTTAAATACGCACGTGTGTGTGTATACACACATATCATATTGGCTTGCTCGTTTGCTCGCTCGCTCAATCACTCGCTCATGTTGTTATTTTTCATATACTACAGAGTGTTGTATAAGAGAAGGAGGGCGAGAGAGAGAGAGAGAGCACATGCAGGTTCATGTTGTTGATTTTTTGTTTTCTATTTTATTGATAATATTGATTGATTAATAATTAAACCACACTGGCTACATATAATCGACATGCATACATACATACGTGCATACGTACATTCATACAGTAGGTAGTAGTCGGTATTCCACACGTGTGTACGTATTGTTGTTGGCTTTTGGCTGGCTCATTGTCTGGTTGGCTGGCTGGTACACATGTACACATTCATAATAAGACTGCTTATTTTATTTCTATATAATATTGGTATTCCTTACTTTATTATTTGTGTTAGTACCTACTTTTAATTTGGCTATTAGCCAAGTTATTTTATTTTTATTATTATTTTTTTATTCTTCGTATACGCAGAGTATTTGTGAATATTATTAGCGTTAGTGTGTATTCTTACCTATCTACAATATACGTATATATATATATGTATTGATGTAAATGCATTTGTATGCACACTTTTGTGTTTGCGTGCTTGTATGTATGTGTGTGTGTGTGTAGAGGTCTCTATGTCGATTGCACTCACTGTCAATAACTAAACCCATCATCATCTGAAGGCATGTTGTTATCCATCAATGTGAATGTGTACGTATCTGAGTGTGTGTGTGTGTGTATTTGAGTGTGAGTATGCGAATGCGTAGTTTGTATTTGATGTGATGTAGTCAACTTCACATTCTTAAAATATATTCGCTAGTTGAATATTACCAGCACCATTATTATTATTAATATTGTTAGTATTAGTACTATCAGCACTAGTATTGTTACTATTCATTACATACAACATCAAATCTCGGACTCATTAAGAATGGGTATTAATTATTAATAATAGTTTTAGTTAACCTATAGGTATATACATACCTATATTACGCAATACACAGTGGTGTCATGAAAAGGATCAACAATTATATCATTTCACCAATGGAAAATAATAGAAATTGAAATCCGTGAATTTATATGTAAAATAATGCTTTCAAGAGTTTAGTTTGATATCAGTTAGAGAACCATTGAAAATCACCAGAATTTCACTGGAGAACCATCCAGTTACAAGTCAAGCTTGTAAATCATTCAACCACTGAGACTAGAGACTCAATGGCCTGTCAACTCGAACTTCTACCAATTCGTGACTAGCATCATCTAGTGTCATCGGTGAGTATTTTTACGGATTTTAACCCCGGTAGGTGCGTACTACCGATGAGTCTCTAAGCTAGGACGAAATAGCTGTCTAAGTACTCCCTGATTGATATTCAATGGTTCTCTAAGGGATTTCAATCTGTGGTTAAAACTGAAATAAAACAATACTTTAATCATTATACTATTGAAAGTAATTGTGTGCGTTTCTTCTATACATGCCACACACACACACAGTGACAACTTCATACTGTGTGTAGTATTTGCAAATCCTCAGTGTGTTACATGGACTTACGCACCTGTTTCATCCATAATCATTGTTTTGTACAGCCCGGCTGTACTTCGTGAGATATTTTAAACTAAGTTTCAAGTGAAACTGGATTACTTAAGCTAGTCGAATCGAAGGGATCTAAACATCATTGGACTGGCCTGGCCTAGTTCAACCATCAGCTAGCAAGCACTACTGGTTGCTGTGATTGGTGCGCAACTACTCATCTCACTTAGTCAGTAGTATGTAGTGTTGCGCATTTGTGCTAGGTTGTCTTGATTCTCATTTCTGATATCAAGCAGATCGTGTGCATTGTGATCTACTCGAATTGTGTAAATTGGGAATTGTGAACTTCGTTTACTGATTTTGATAGGACTGAATACGATTTTATGCTGATATATCTAGTCAGTTGAGTTAGGTGCAGTCAGCGCTCATTGGAAAAAGACTTTAAGGCGACTGGTTTGCCAATAGATCTGTCGTCATGACTCGCTTAAGTTCTGAGCTATTTGATCAATATCGAAACTTTGTTCTGATTACGAATCCGTAATAAGCAATTATTTTCAAGTTTTGGTTTTGTAGGGATTTTGTTTGATTGCATGTAGGATTTCATCATGAGCTGACATCAGTTAGAGAACCAGTGGAAAACCTGGGAGTACTGGACAGCTGTTTCCTGTGTCCTAGTTTAAGACTATTCAGCAATACGCACCCACACTGCGGGTTTCGAACCCAGGACCTTCTGGTTGCAAGACAACCTCATAGACCATTGAGCCACTGGGAGCCCCCATTCAATGGTCCTTGAATTCTAACTTCGGTCAATTCACGACATAGCGTGACCATTTCGCAATGTCTTCTTCGATGAGTTACTGCCTCATATTCAACCTGCTGCACCTTACTGGCTCAATGGTCTACGAGGTCGCCTTGTAATCATTAGGTCCTGGTTTCGAACCTCGGTGGATGCGTACTGCTGAAGAGTCCCAAACTAGCAACTATTTTTTATTATTAGCCGAAATAAGTCCCCTCCTCTAATGGAAGGAAAAAAATTGCATTCTGTTTCAGCCTGTAATTTTTACTCGATAAAGCTTATCCATGAAACAAGTATCATTTTAACAATACTTTTTTTTCTTATTGTTTACGTATTTCTTGTTCTCCAATATTCCATGCGTAATCAAATTTTGCATATTTTTTTCGGTATTCATGTTTTTTTGTTTCTGTTGCGCGCACATTAATATTACTCTATATGATCAGCCAGCCTCACTTACCCAACCATAGTGTTGGATTTTACTACTTCAGCAGCTCTTATACGCGTGATTTTTTCGTCACGGCTTGCATAGAAAAAAAAAACTGAGTTTTTTTTGTATTCTAGATTGTGCGCCTATCTCAGCACACTTATCATTCAATAATTTCACTAACTTTGATAGTCTAACTGTTTTTTCTATCACGCAGTTTGGGCATACTACT